GAGTTAAGAAATAATTACGTTGAATTATTGTTACGTCCCCGGAGTTAGCCACTTCAATGTGGTTATTGTTGGGGGCTGAATTCATTAGATGATTATAGTGTAAATTCGTGATTTTCTGACGTCTTTTACGATCCATCACCGCCATCATGTATTCAGTTGAGTGGAGTCTGAGAAAGATGCAAATATGGTGAATAGCAAAAGATGATGAATAATTGAAAAAAAAATTATAACAATTTCAAATAAGAGATTTTGACCCTCTTGACCTTTTGTGAGCCTAAAAGCCCCAAGGATCTGCAGGGTCACAAAGGTCCCCTTCGTTACCCCACCATGTAACATCAAATAGACTTATAAGTGTCAAATAAGGGATTTTGACCCTTTGTAACAATTTTACTAAATACTAGAAGTTTTGGAGACAAAACTGAGAATCAATTTTTCAGTGGAATATTGTCCGTGATTTCAGTCAGACATCTTGGATAACAGAATGACTTAAGGTCAAATTAATATTGGAAAAGTTCGATGTTTTACGGGTCAAACGATTGAATGATCAAGATTCTCTGTTATGTTGCCTACCTCATGATTTTTCTGACCCTTCGTGTATTTTGCCTGTAAGATATCCAATTGGTTGTTCAAAGAATGATAATCAGACGAAACCAAGTCTCGTCTTGTTTTGTCTCGAACGCACCTTTATTATTGCTTCCGGATGAAAGCCTTGTAATCCCTAATTTTTTCGAGCTTCTAATTTTGCTTGAAAATTATGTAGAATGTCATGAAACGTGAAGACATGATGTTTTTAGAAAATGTATGTATGTATGTCCGTATGTGTGTGCAAATTTTTCGGAAATTTTTTAGGAATCTCAACAAAAAGACAAGTAAAGTTGCAGCTATAAATCTGAAATTTTGTCACATAATTGCTATCATTTGGGAGCAGCTCTGGGCGCACTTTCCGCCTAATCGGTCAAGTAGTTTTTGAGATACAGCAATTTTTCAAAAATTGTTTTCCCTCAACATCTTCAAAACTACGTTAACTAATTGAATTTTTTTGACGTCAAAGTGTTCCTTGTCATAATATCTATCAAATCAAGTCATAATATCCATACGGAACTAGGGACAGTTTGATGATAATTGGCATTTTTTATTTTTATGATATTTTTATGATTGATGTATACACGATAACCCTCGAAAAAATTGGGATAGTGTATTGAAATTTGCTGAGATTGTAGCTCTTATAATATTACGGGATGAGTTCATGAGTAGGCGAAACCGGACAAGTGGTTTAGAAGATATTCAGCTTTTTGTGAAAAACTGCTTTGCTCAATATCTCATACAATGCTGGTCCGATTTCAATTTTTGTTTTCAAAATACTCGTCTTGCTGCCACATATCGAGATCAATCAATATATGAGGACATCCGCATGAAAAGGGACCACTTTGTCGATATGGTGTTATGCATACTCTGATAATATTGATAATATTCCGCACATTTTGAACCCAAAATGACCTTCATAGGGTCAAAAATGACGTCGTTGGAGAAGATGGAAAAAACAATTTAACATTGGTGCAAATGGGAGTTGCTGACACAAAAACGTAAATATCTCGGAAACTAGAATCGACAAAGTGGCCTCTTTCCATGTTGTTTTGGCGAGAGTTAAACAAAAAAAACCGATGGAGAGCCGGGATTCGGGAAAGGGTTGAGAAGTTCACCAAAAATAATGTCTGACACAGTGCGCGTGGGTAGAGTCACAAAAAAACGGTATTTTCCGTAAAAATACAGAACTCAGTCAAAAATATTTACAACAAAATAACCACTGTCAACTAATAATTGTGTCGAGACACGGTAGAGATTTTTCACGGTTGAGATGGTCACAAAAATTTGAGATATAATCGCGGAGAGAGAATGGCACGATGCACACTTGTCACGAGGCGATTAGAGAAGAAGCCGGAAGTGACGAGAGGGGACAAGTGTCGCGGCAGGTGCCGTTGGTCCCAATTAATTGGACACGGTCGGTAACCCAGGTCCGTGTCCAGGAGGTGCTGCCGCTCGTGGTCAGCGGACCAACCTGCCGTGACGTGAGGCTGAAGCCTCAACACATGTGGACGTCCATATATGAATATTACCCGTCCATACAAAGTTTCCGAGATATTCACGTTTTTCTATTTTTTCATCTCATCGTGAATTGCACGTTCCGTAATCTGCATGAAGAAAGAAAATGAGTCCGCCATTATAACTTAGGACTGTAACTGAATAGACGAAGTCCTTCGGCTGAAAAATATCAGAAAACGGGTCATACACGTTGGAGAAAAAAGGTTAATGCTAAAAAAACAGAATATTGGAAGAAATCAAAGTCTCCGAGATGATATATCCTGTTTTAATGGAAAAGATTTCATAAAAAAAATGAATTTACTTGACTCTACATATACATTTCTCAGATACATGACGATTCAATGAGTTGTGTTCATTTTTTATGGAATATAGAAAGTTACTTACCTGCGGGTACCATTGATGTTATATTCGCGAGCACGAAGACACTGCGATTATTCTCAGGGCCAATTTTTGGTTTAAGTTAACCAAGGTTAACCCGTGGTTAAAGTTGAGTTAGTACCCCCCACCATTGAACACGATCAATCGGGGATCTAAACCCGGAGTTGACTTAACTTTAACCGAGGCCTAACCATGGTTAGCCAAACCAAAAACTGGCGCTCATTCAGGCCGTGTTCAAATGCGGTGAGTCAATTATTTGAGACCATATTACCATTGCTTATTCATGTACACTTTCGATTGCTTTACCTCTTTTTACCATTATCTTTCGTTCACTAGTGTCCATTCTGATGTTGCGAATTGTTTACATTTCCATCGGATCCTCTGAGGGTATAATTTTGCATATCGAGCAGCAATATAATACAAACGAACAGATAATACAGACTATAAGTTCACTCGTTCCAATTAAACCAAGAAAATCAAACAGAAAAATAGAGTTATTGATTCAATTCAAAGTTCGTCGACAACAGACAACTTGTTGTCGACAACCTGACTATCTGGATGGGGATTTTTGGAAACACATTTTTCAAGTTTTTTGCTTTTGAATTTTATGATGCCCAAGAAGAAAAAATGCAGAGACAAAGAGCTTGGAAAATTTGTGCCCCAAATTGCTGTAGAACGAATGTCAAGAAAATAATGTGCATAAATAAATCGAAGTCTATTCATTTCTATTTACAAAATATTGTCTATGGAATTTTCTGTAATAACCGCGCAGGAAAGCCTATTTATTTATCATTAGAAATCGCGCAAAAAATCTTTATGTTACTATGAATTAACAGAGTATTCATCAAACATGAAAAAATCAGAAAGTCGTGTGCTTTGAATACGCCTGGAATTATTAAATTAGAGACTGACGATTATACATAAAGGAAATTAGAATGAACATACAAGGAATATGCGTTGGATATGTTGTACACGCATTACGGTTGCTGTAGAACATTGATCAACTTTGGCATAGGATTATATCAATGTACACAAAGACGCCGAATACAAATAAACTGTGTAATAAACGCATAAATGCCGAAGTAGTCTATAAATTCGGGCTAGTGTCATGTTATACTCAAATTAGAACTCTTGTGTAGAAACTTAATTCCAACGAATTCGAAGTGATGGATGAGAGATTATTCAAAAACGGAATATTGAGCGATATCTCAGTACGGTATCGATTTGGTTATATTTGAAAATTCATGTGTCGAATATTGTCATGCCTCCTGCACTAATGGAGTTTCAAAAGATGTGTAGTTAACACCTGTGCAATCGCGTCAATTGTTTATCGAAATATTGGCGACCAAGTTATTCTATTCCACTAGTATGTTGAACTGTCACGTCTTCGCTCTATTATGGAGTATCATTTTTATTGGCTTTAAACAGTATGATTCATATTCTGACCCATGGCATAGTGAAATGTGACTCCTTGAACCAATCTCTATAAGCAAACGGTCTCATTGAGCTCATATTGCTTACTAGTCTCAGGTACGTGTATGCAGCATCGGTACTCAGCATCAGTAATTCTCATTCCAAACGAAGTAAGGACTATGATTGATTAATCTCAACAGTATATATTATTGAACGGGTAATTATGTGATTTCGCTTACCTGGTGGGTTTCAAGATTAAACATTCATTTTTTCACGGGCACATTTCAATAGTGAATATTCGTACCGTGTGAACTTGCATGCCTAGATTGGATATACAATGGTAATTCCACAGCATGTTTTCTACATACGATTGTATATTACTACTAGTATTGATTACTAGTGAATCATTTACCGAAAAAATAATGCCATGTTTTGTAAATTTCTTGTGCCGAAAGTATAAAACTTCACATGCGTTACACTTTGCAGGTCTCACTTCCTACGCCAGCGAGTAATCTACTCCCTCAGTCGTGGACGAAGTCTTTTATATGTTTGTGCATGTGTTGATGTGCATTCTGCGCGTTAGTGTATCAACTATTGTGAGTTACAATGCGTGTATCGACCGATCGTGTACAAGTTACATCTGCGACTTTTCGTTTGTCGACTTGAAAAACCTCCACCTAGACGGATGCCGCTCGAGGGGTATTTATCAAATTATTTTCGCAGTCGAATTTCGGCCAATCAGAGCGCAGTGGACAACATCAGGAGGTTAATTAGGGAAGATTTGAACAAATTATATTAATACACTGTCAAATACAACACTCAATCCGAAATAAGCCAAAAAATGAAGAGCTGCTGCGAAATATTCAAAAGCTAGGAGAAATTATCCAAAATGAACCTGTCCGGTAGCCTCAAATATTACGCACTAATTGGTCGAAATCCGATAGGGAAAAATAATCGATATAATTCTCTCCTTATTGGTCCACGAGTGACGGGGGAAATTATCACTTGAATTTATCAACTCCGACAATTGACACAAAAAAGTATAGAATTTAATATTAGTGAGTTGGCATTTTTTCACTTGATTATAAATTAGGAATGTTCTGTTGCAGGGATTTGAGTAAAAATAGTATTTACTTTGTTGAAAAAGGAACATTCCAGAATTTGACGAATTTGAAACGCCTGGATCTCTCGACTAATAAAGTTACAGCTCTGGACGAAGGATGTTTTAATGGATTAGAAGGTTTAGAACGATTGTAAGTATTCAATGTGAAATGCCCGGCCATATTGTCTTTGTTATTAAATCGATACATTTTTTCGAAATTTCAGAGATTTGAGCAAAAACCAAATTGCATCCATCAATCCTTTGGTCTTCCGCCCATTATTAAATCTGAAGAAACTGTAAGCATACAAAATAGAATATTGAAATTTTTACAACACATTTAATATATTCTAGATGTGGAGTGATGAAATCAATCAAATCAAACGTGAAATTTTCCGAGATGGTGATGTATTCCAGGAGTGAAAGATTTGGAAAGAAAATATCAAGCGGTAATGTTTCTCCCGAAATCAATCGTAATTTCACTAAAGAGGAATCATTGACTTTGAAACGTCCTCAATGAAATGGAGGTTTTGCTAAAAAAAATTGATGAAGCTAAAATCAACTTGACTTGATTTTATCACTTTACTATTACTTTATATTTCATGCATCATTGGATGTATTTGCATTAAATTCTGTAATTTTGTATTGCTTAGTGACTTATCTGCTAACAAAATCAGCGCAGTAAAAACAACTTTATTTCATGATTTGATGGCCCTAGAACGCTTGTAAGTATATTATCAATTTTGTTTCCCACTTATAAAAAAAAAAAATAAGTTTTTTGACTCTTAAGTGATCGCATAATCAGGAAATCCCCGCGGTTTTTCTATTTTTTCTTTTTACACAAAAATTTTGTAAGCGAAAAATTCGAGTTCCCCCTTTCAATTTTTTTGGTCCTATAATTTCTATTTTGGTCCTATTTTTTCAATCTATTATGCCAATAAATTATTAAAATATTTGGGAAGCTTACCCATGCTCCCCCCCCCCCCTCCTAGGGGATTCCCTAGAAGAAGTCTTTTCACGGGGATCCTAATGGTGGGGATAGAGATTCATAAAAAATATGATATGCACATAATGCAATAGACTATCACCTCCAGGAGGTCGGAAATTGGGTCTGAGAGGGGTGAAAACCGTAATTAGTGTATAACTCTCAGATGAAACCTTCCACTAGATTCTCTGTTTTGATACTCATCATAACACAAAAATGGCGGTCAATACGCATAAAAAAACTACCAATTATTCCTAAGAGCACTGCACTACGATGGGACCTAATTACTGACACATGCGCTATTATTTCACATTTTTTAAATATTTTTTCCCCATCATCCTTTTTAAAAAAAGACATCAAGGAAAAGCAAAGAGGATAGGTTAAAGTGGAGACTAAGTCCTCGTAGTTTGGGGGATCCCAAGCTGGAATTACTATCACCCCATGGGAGGGATGGTGCCACGGTCGCTTTTGACGTCTGAGCGAGCTGGCTGTGCTTTCGTTCTCTTAGTCCTCAATGTTTTTTCATGTTTTTCAGGTGTTATTAATTATGAATAAAGTTAAAACATACAATTTAAAATTGACTTATCATTGAAAACATTTACTAAGAATGTTTTTCATAATGCGGCGTGCCACCTTTAATATTATAACGCAATTTTAAGAGGTTCACGGGCCCCTCCACCTACTTCGAAGCCCTCTGACACCTAAACAACCCTGAAATGATAGCGTTTGGGCGCCAGGTCGTTATTACCAGAACGACCATTGGAACAAAACCAGAAGAAATGATGACTCTAGTCCCAAGCTCCGATACGGTTTCCCACTAACTCAAACCGGAGAAATGCGTATTAGTAGTATAGCAATAGCGATTCTGGCTCACTTTGACCTTGAGAAATGAGAAGGTTCTAGAAGGTTCGGCGAGGAGGGGCAGAGCGGGTCGGTGGGAGAAGGGGGTGGTAAAAGGTTCTGGAAGGTTGGGTGAGGGGAAGTGAGGAAGGGGTGGGGCAAAACGGGTGAGGAGGGGGAGGGGGTGGTTGAAAGGTCTTGAAGGTTCGACGGTGAGGGGTAGGGGCTGGGGGGGCTGAGGGTTAGGGGTTGAGGGATAGGGGCTGAAGGGTAGGGGTTAAAGGCAGAGAGATGTAGAGGGCGGGGTGAGCTTGATAAATTACAGATGAGAGTTTAAAAAATTAGTCGTTTAAATTGAAAAATTTTTAAAATTGAAAAAGTTATAATTTTTTGAAAATATTATTTTTCCTATCTTTTGATGAATGGATTTAGGCGAACTTCTGTCTCCAGGAGAATAATTTTTAAATGGAAATCAAAAAAGGTTTATTTTGTTCATACATAAATTTATCAGAAAACGACTTTGTCTTATTTCTTTCTAGTACCTATTATAATCGAGATAATTCTCTCTGACAGAAAAAAATCGCTGAGAACAATCACTCAATGCGATATAAGAGGCCAAGCAGGGAGGCGAATGGATGAGTGAACGCACAGGAAGGAACGATTATCACAGCGCATATATATATTACGCAGTAATACGCGCTGAAGAATTTCTCGTTTATTTCGAGAATTCGTAATTTTATGGAATAATCTCAAAAGGGTTGTTTTGTAGCTGAATGAATTTCAGTAAAAAAAATTATTTTCATATTTTTTTCTGCAATGCTTCATTATAGAGTTATTCCGTTGTTTAATTGTGTGGTAGGGCATGAGCCAGTTAACGCGTTAGGAGGGGATTCGAGAGACGGAAGCGCGAACACGTATAAGATTTGATGTGAATTTCGGCTTTTTTCGATTGTTTATTTAGCTCGGAAACGATGTTTTTTTTTTCATTGGAAATCTGAAAAATTATTCTTTCAACTAAATGAATTGCAGACGAAGAATATCGTTTCATATTTGGGACATTCCATGTCAACTCAGCCACCCTGGAATTTTTTGGTTCTCAGAATCTTGAATTAGCATGGTCCCAGTCAAGTACTACATGAGTACATACTTTCTCTAAATTTTCGCTCCTTTAACATTAATTGTTTGGCCAGGACAAATAACAAAAGCTCAAATTTTGGCAAAATCATATCTTGCGAACAAATTGGCTGATTTTGATGAATAAAAAAAGATTTTTTTCGTGTTTTCATATACTTTTGGAATAAAAATACGACAGTACCACGAGGAAGAATAATGAGTCATTTTTCAAGTTTTTTGTTATTTAAATCCTTCTGTTATGCAGGGGCCATTCGAAAATCGAATAATTTTTTTTTTCTTCGATGGATAATGATATTACTCAACTTTTTCGGGGTATTTCAAAATGGGATAGCCATATGGAGATGAGAGAAAATTTTTTTTCTCATGAAAAATCAGATTTTCCGAATTTTGTTCCTGAGAAATGATGAATGCCTCAACGAAGGATGAGCGTGCAATTTTTCGGCATAATTTGAAAATGAGATGCATAAGTAGTAGTGGATAAAAAACGTTTTTTTATAGAAAAAAGTTGTATTCATTGATTATTAACAGCTCTACTTACGTAAACGACAATGAGAATTCGCAAACTACCAAATATTTGATGAGTTTTCAGATCAACATGGAGTATATGTCTGTTTTAAGTTTGTAATTTGAAAAATAAACATTAAATTGTAGAGAAAAAGCAATTTGAAATCGAACTTTTCTGAATCACAATGGCTATCTTAATGTACGTCGTCCATTTCGTTTCTTCGCCTTTGCAAAAACGTCTCCCGTAGTCGCAGAAGAATATCTCTTAATCAATAATTCCTTTTCTCCCACAGGAATGAAGCCGTGATTTTTTTGTATCCAGTCCAGGCGTCAGAGGCTCAAAATCAGTCGATCGTGGAAATAATATGTATTGAAGGTTTTTTTGTTTCTATCGCTTCTTCAGGATGTCAACTCATAAATACTAAAAATTTAAACTCCTACTCGCCCCGGAACCTATTGTTTAAATAAACAAAAGGGGTCATTTTAACGGTTTTCTTAAATATCTCCTAAAATATCGCTTTTTTGTAGAAAAATATGAAATACAAAAAGATTCTCCACGAAATTTTCTACGAAAAAAGTATGTTTGAAATTCAGCTATTCAAACTAGTCAAACGGTCACCGGGCTCAACGAAAATCTCGAGAAACTTCGGGACCCTTCGAGGTCACATTCAGCTACGAAGAAAATCCCCGAAAAAGTCAGTAGTATCGCTCTAGCCATCGAGAGAGTTACTCTAATCGCAGTACTGTATCGCCGTAACCGCTCAATCGAGTACATCACCGGAGTACATCAACGCGATACATTTGAGTCTAGCGCTTCGTATAGCGTCTCTATTTAATTCAATTCAATTATCAATTAATTCCGAGTTAACTATCAATTATTTTGAGTCAATCATCAAGGTCAATATCGAGAGAATCTCAAGTGCAGTGCATTTTCAAATCATCATTTAATTGACTTTGTCGAGCAACTCAACAGTGTAACATTATTAATTTATCAAGACGCGTGGGTTATTCCACAATAAAGTACATCAACAGTGTGGTTTTATAATTCCGCGTGTTTTAATTTTCCGACTCCTTTCACAATCCCACTTTTCCCCAACCGGCATCTCAATTTAGCTTCAATCTCAAACAAAGTATTTACAATTTTTTGGATTAGAGTGATAGATTCAATGCTATACGCGTGCGAATATTCAAGCTCGAGCGCCCTTCAGTCAGCTACTCTCACGTTGCGCCCGCACCGAGCCTCACCGAGCCTTGTTCCGTCGTTATGGTATCTTTCCATACAAAAAAAGGCAGATGGTGCGGGTTCTTTCTTCCTGCGACTGCCATGAGTCCCTTCAGGTCAGAGGGGGGCCCATAAGGGAGGGGAAAAAACGTGTTTCGACTAGTTCTATTCAGTACCGAGCGAACCACCGCCGTATACACTGGAGAAATGGATTTAGAAAAATCGTGTTTTATATGTGCGAAAGAATTATCCGAGAGTGAGTGTGAGATAGTTAAAATACGGGGAATAAAGACACTTATTGCATCGAGCCTCAGACGAAAAGACGATAAACATAAACTTTTAGAGAACCGATCTCTATTCAAGTGCACGTCCGATGTAGAGCAAAGTACATTGTGGAGAAATGTATTGTTGCAGCCGTAAACAGTCTTCAAAACTCCAGCCCCGGCACGAGTCGATCGACTCGAACGGAGTCATTCGATTTTTTAAACTACTGTTTATTTTGTGGGAAAGATGCTTCAGAAAAATATGTAGCAAATGAAAATAAAAAATCCAGTGGCCGGGATGTAGTGAGACATGTATCTACTCTCGACTTTAAGACAAACCTGATAAAGAGAGCTGAGAAGAGGAACGATGAGTGGGGAAGAAAGGTTATGCACCGAATTGGCGGTGTAATTGATCTGGTTGCCGCTGAGGGGAGGTATCATGAGTCATGTTGCAGTAAGTTCAATTTACGTGTGAATTCTGACCAGCCCGCCGGCCGCCCTCTTGTCAATAACACCCCGAAAACAATCGATTTTATCTCCACCTACCTCGAAGAAAATCGAGATGAATGTCAGGCATGGTATCCATGGGCATGTCGTAAGCATGGGATTCATTGTTCAATTATCTGCTCCCATTGCGAAGGTCGTACTTGTTCCAATATCGAGGAAGTAGAGATTGAAATCGAAGAAGTCGATGAACTTATTGACATTGAGTTGGAGAAATTTTTAAGCATTCATCTGTCTGATGAAGAGTGAAGAAACGAGAGCAGCAGAAGAATTGGGAGAAGCATAAGCCAGTAGGGACGTTGAAGGAATTGAAGATGGAGAAAGAAGAGATTGCCCTATACAGATGGAGGTAGAAGTTCCGGACCGACCTCAACAGAAGAGGAGAAGAATTCTTCATTAATACAAGGACATAATATGTAGGAATTTTAAATACAAGTTTAATTATTCCACTCCAGTTTGAGTCTTAAAATGTATTTTATAATTTGTCGAACCTTCGCATCCCTCATTTTCGAGTGTTATTCCCTTATTATTTGTTATGTTTCTCTGTCAGAAAATTATTCATCACTTCATTTATCGTTTATGCAAAAATGAAGGTTTTTTAGTTGGAGATATTCTTCATATCGATTTCATGCAGGACTCACCACTATACTTCGTGGTTTCCAGCGGACGGAGCCCTCTCCAACGTTTACGTAACGCACGAGCCGGACGTGCTCTATATATCACATGGCCATATCTCCGAAACTATTATCTTAATCGGAAAAAGTATAAATACATTGTTTGAAACGCAACCAAAATTCCAGAACATTCTGGTCGACCATCGGCCTACTTTGAAAATCTCCGGGACCCTTCGGGTCATCAGTCATAAGTCACCGAAACACGCACGAATTAGTTTAGGCTTAGCCTCTCACCGTATAAGTCTATCTCGAGCAAATCGCCTGTAGACGTCGTATAGTATCCATTCGTATTTCAACGAGTTCACATCAACTAAGTAGTAGTCTCTCAACTAGTCCACAAGTATTAAGTAGAACTCAACGAATAATTCAACGTGTAGTAATTCACCGAATAGTTATTAACTAGTATTAATCAACATTATTAGGAGTTCATATCGAGCAGTCCTTCAGTTGTGGTTCAGTATCGTCACGATAATGACATAGTCGATTCAGTCAAATACCATTCAAAGTTTAATACCTTTATTCAGTACATCACCTCTGTTGATTAAATTCAGTTTAAATTCAGTGACTCACCAGATTAACGTGCAAAGATAATCATCAGTGAAATTAGACTATCACCAGTGAAATTACATATTACCAAAGACTGTACATAAGTTTTAACAAAGTGGTTCGATCCCACAAATTAAAGTGATTTTTTAAATCCGACTCATCAATGATTTTCCCAACATCTCCCTCCACATTTTCATCCCACATCCACCCTAAATCTAGTCATTCACCAAACATACATTTTTTGTAGAGAATTTTGTGGGGCATCTTTTTGTCATGTTTTTTGACCAAAAATGGAAATTTTGGGAGATAATCGAAAAAAACGCTAAAATCGCCCTTTTTGTTTGTTTAAACAATATGTTCCGGGGCGAGTAAAAGTTTAAATTTTTGATATTTATCAAAAGTTAACATCTTAAAGAAACGATAGAAACCAAAAAACCTTCAATACATATTATTTCCGCGCGTATACCTCTGACGCCCGGACTAATTGCTGGAATCGTCTTTGCACTGTCGAATCTTGTTTTCAACCGTTCTTTCATATCCTCGTGTTCCTATTTAGTGTAGAACGAGACATCGAAATCCTTGAAATTATTCTTTGCCTACTGGAACACACCATCTAGAGTGAGAATAGGTTCACCATTAGTAATTTACAGACTTCTTCGTCTTGCTTCCCTCTTCAAGACTGCGCCTACGCCATCGCATGCCGTCTTTCCACGCGCGGTCGCATGATAGTGCGCCTCTGCTTCAACTCCAAAATCATTTTTATGCAACAAAAGATTAGCCATGTTATATCGATTCTTATAGTGCTGTCCAGCACCATCTGTAACATAGATCAATTTGTTTACGGCAGCAGACTTGTTTTATGTGTCGTATCAGAATCTGTTGTATTAAATGAACTGCAGTAGTATCGTGAAAGAGACTGTCAGATAAGAGGACTAGACTCCTATGTCGAATATCATTGCCGTGGCGATAATAATACACCACAGGATGGACAGTGCATTGATCATTGTTGTAATGGAACGATTGAGCAGCGTCTTGAGCTACGAAAGAATAATTCTCCGAAAAATCGGCCTGCACTAGAATTTCACCCTCAATTAAATTCCCCTTTCGTTCTTTCACGAAAGCGTTTTGTTGTATGGCAATAAAATGATGAGATTTCAATACTTTCAATCTCTCACAAAGTACATCAACAAATTCATACACTGGAAGTCTCTGGGTCCGTAATGTTGTTCTATCCATAGATTGCCAAGTCCTCAATTCTACAGTGTCAATCACAGTTTCAATCACAATTCCGCAAACTTGCTGAATCCCACCGGAGACTTTGAATGAGTAATTTTATATTTCTCATGAAGATCATTCAAGTTCTCGAGGACCANGATTAACGTGCAAAGATAATCATCAGTGAAATTAGACTATCACCAGTGAAATTACATATTACCAAAGACTGTACATAAGTTTTAACAAAGTGGTTCGATCCCACAAATTAAAGTGATTTTTTAAATCCGACTCATCAATGATTTTCCCAACATCTCCCTCCACATTTTCATCCCACATCCACCCTAAATCTAGTCATTCACCAAACATACATTTTTTGTAGAGAATTTTGTGGGGCATCTTTTTGTCATGTTTTTTGACCAAAAATGGAAATTTTGGGAGATAATCGAAAAAAACGCTAAAATCGCCCTTTTTGTTTGTTTAAACAATATGTTCCGGGGCGAGTAAAAGTTTAAATTTTTGATATTTATCAAAAGTTAACATCTTAAAGAAACGATAGAAACCAAAAAACCTTCAATACATATTATTTCCGCGCGTATACCTCTGACGCCCGGACTAATTGCTGGAATCGTCTTTGCACTGTCGAATCTTGTTTTCAACCGTTCTTTCATATCCTCGTGTTCCTATTTAGTGTAGAACGAGACATCGAAATCCTTGAAATTATTCTTTGCCTACTGGAACACACCATCTAGAGTGAGAATAGGTTCACCATTAGTAATTTACAGACTTCTTCGTCTTGCTTCCCTCTTCAAGACTGCGCCTACGCCATCGCATGCCGTCTTTCCACGCGCGGTCGCATGATAGTGCGCCTCTGCTTCAACTCCAAAATCATTTTTATGCAACAAAAGATTAGCCATGTTATATCGATTCTTATAGTGCTGTCCAGCACCATCTGTAACATAGATCAATTTGTTTACGGCAGCAGACTTGTTTTATGTGTCGTATCAGAATCTGTTGTATTAAATGAACTGCAGTAGTATCGTGAAAGAGACTGTCAGATAAGAGGACTAGACTCCTATGTCGAATATCATTGCCGTGGCGATAATAATACACCACAGGATGGACAGTGCATTGATCATTGTTGTAATGGAACGATTGAGCAGCGTCTTGAGCTACGAAAGAATAATTCTCCGAAAAATCGGCCTGCACTAGAATTTCACCCTCAATTAAATTCCCCTTTCGTTCTTTCACGAAAGCGTTTTGTTGTATGGCAATAAAATGATGAGATTTCAATACTTTCAATCTCTCACAAAGTACATCAACAAATTCATACACTGGAAGTCTCTGGGTCCGTAATGTTGTTCTATCCATAGATTGCCAAGTCCTCAATTCTACAGTGTCAATCACAGTTTCAATCACAATTCCGCAAACTTGCTGAATCCCACCGGAGACTTTGAATGAGTAATTTTATATTTCTCATGAAGATCATTCAAGTTCTCGAGGACCATCCGCTTCTACATCATGTTCTTCACTTTATTCTTCATCCCTGGCATCATCCGACTATTACTCTCATAAAAACTCCGGATCTTTTCAACTGTCTCTTTGGGCAATGATTTCCCAGCCTTCGCAACTGTTGAAGCAAATATTCCTCTCTATTCTCGCAGTTGTTTTGCTCTCATAGCCGTGTACCTTGTCGTACCAAATTCACGACTCAGCTTTCGCCCACTCCAGGAAGGTGGAGCAATAATCAAGAGTTGAATACGTTCAGAATATTCTGTCATCGTATTGAATTTTTGCTTGACTCCATCCAACATTTCTTCCAATTCCAATTCTCGTGGAGAACGAAAATTTGCTGGAATGTTCCTGTGGTGCTCTCTTTTTGAATCATCATCTGCTGTTGGAGCATCGTACTCTGAAGCTTCGTTGAAAATCACATCCCCATTAGGATCAATTGAATGGAAGGAATTACCTGATCTCAAAGAACTCCCTGCGATATTGCTCATAGAAATGTCTACTAGAAATGGTGTGGCACTGGACGAACGATCGGCTGGAACATGTGATGACGATGAAGAGACTTCCCGATTCGATGAAGATTCAGAGGGTAGTGATCCAGGAATGTAAGTCAAAGCTCTTTTCCTACAGGAGCTACATAGTTTTGCATTTTCTGGCAAGAATGGAAATGTCTGTCATAGTCTTTCTGAGATTGAACGCAGGTTTTTTCCATTGTGACCTTTCTCCCCAAGAACTCGCATTGGATTTGCACATCTTTCGGCATGCGGCATCTTGTGGAACAGGAATGAAGAACAGTTCTGACCATTCAAAAAAAGGGCAAAAAATAATAATAACGATTGATTGAGTTTACAACTTCACTACTGAAATATTTTATACCATCACTTACCTTGATTAAAGTTGATGGACAATAAATACAAGAGAATAACCGTCGGAGAATTTCTGTTAACGATACTGTAATGAACCGTGTGAGATGTTCAACACTCAAATGTGTGCTGAGGACTAATCAAACGGTTATTATTGAGGTCTACTCTATGGCTCGTATGGAAACTGAATTCCGAGAAATCGAAATGCGAAATAATCTATCGACATATTTTTCTGGTCTACAATATCGTCCAAAGTTAGTCTTTCAATGCCAGAGTTTATCGTTACTCGTTGCGCGCCTGGCAAATGAATCGGAAACCGAATCACTGGATGACTTTTTCCATACAATTCTTTCTCCTGAATCCTCCAGCATGCTTCTACAGGTCTGACGTAACGGGCTTCCACATGTTCATTGATTTTATCATGTATGATTTCCGTTTCATTTGTGTTGACAGCAGTTCCACGTATTGATATTGAAGCAGAATCATGTCCTTTATGAATATACAAGTAAAGATATTTTAATAGATTTAAAGCTTGTAGTCACTTCC